AGGTTTGTAACAGGCCTTTGAGAACAAATCCTCCTTGAATGATATAATTTGAAGGTGCCATCTGTTTTATATTGAGATCTGGACTGAATTACTACATAATTGGCACTGGAGTGGGCCACAGGAAACAGCCTGGATTTTCTGGGGTTGGGTTAAGGAAAAACGGGACATGGATTCTCCATGAACAGGTGGTGACACAAAACCTTACAGAATCATCAGAGCTAATGACAGCGAAGATAGGCAAGTACAGGGTAAAACACTGAGGTTTCAGATGGCTGTGGCATTTAGTTTCTATGGCAACAAAGTGGAATTTAGAGTTTGGAATCACCTGGATTCTTCTTACAACCCAAGAGGACACATAGGGAAAAGGAGAATTTAAAAGCTACGAATATCCAATTAAGAACATATGATGAACAAGAAGAATTCCAGGATGGTCTTGAAGGACACTGTCATCTCAAGTAGTCAAAGGGTAGAGAGGGATGAAGACCAAGACCAGGAGAAATGGCAAGGGCTGGCAGTTTGCAGAGGCAAATGTCCGGCCTGAAGGTGAGTGTGCCCAGGGGGAAGCAGTGTGGGGCCCTGAGACACGGGGAGGAACCTGTGAGCAGACATGAGAGAAACATGCACATCCAAAGCTTCAGTTTCTCCCGGAGCTCCTCCCTGTAACTCCACTTCCCAGGCCCCACGCCCTGTGAGGGACCTGCTCCACCTCTTATGTCAGCCTTGAAAGGGTTGCACGTGGTCATGAGCCCATAGTTTCCTGCCAGCCCCTGGCTACCACGCCATCTTCTATGGTTCCCCTGGACCCCCACCCACTGCTTGGTAAGTAGTTCTCCCTATAAACAACCCTCCCCAAATTATCCTAATACAAACATCCACCTCTTTCCTGTTGGTATCCAACAGGCACTGAAAAGCAGGCAGCATGACCTGCTCCTCTCCTGGGCGTCTCCTCTCAGTGATCAGCATCCAGCTGCTCTAGCAAACAGCCAACAGCCTGCAGCCTTTCTTCCTTCTTGACTCTTCTCTTTCCCCCCAAATCACTTATCCAGTTCCTTCCAAGCCCTTTCAATCCCCAGAACCAGAACCTGATGTTTGCTATCACCTCCCTGCCTCTTGGTCAGTCCAAGCCTTTGGCCTTTCTTAGCTCACATCCCTTTCTCTCTTTCTCTCTTGCTGCTTATAGTCTAGTGCCCACCCAGAAGTCAGAATGACCTTTGCAATAGATTGGGCTACCTCTATGATGTCACTTTCTTGGAAGCTTCCCTTGCGATTTCTAATGAAATCCAAAGTTCATTTTATTATGGCCTCCAAGATCCCACATAGCTCGACTGGCTCTGTTTCCCCAGCCTCTGCCCCTTTCCAGTGACCTTCCTTCTGAGCATACCAAAAACCCTTTCTACCTCAGGGCCTTTACATCTGCTCTTTCCTCTGTGAAGCTTCTCTCCTTCTGGATGGTAGCAGGTTCACTCCTTCACTTAAGTCTCTCCTTGAAGATCCCTTTTACAGAGAGCCTCAAATAGTCTCTTTCCCTCTCCATCAGGGGTGTGTTGTGTGTGAGTGTGAGAGTGCACTTGTGCACACTATGTGTGTGCTGTCTTTCACCTTAGAGTATAATTTTATGAAGATAATAAATATTTGCTATTCAGTGAGGCCAATGAAGCAAGCACAAAATGTCCATGGGGTTGGTATCCAACCCAGACACTGGAAAGCTAGTAAGGGGTTTTCTGAGGAAATGATAATTCTCTTTGTCACCACTGAAAAGGGTGGCTGAGGGCCACTTTGGCCTGCTGAGCACTCTAAGGGGTCCTCCTGTGGGGTCGTATATTCCCTGAGTGGTCAGGGCCATGTCTTCGCAGCACCATCAATACATCTCTGTGTCTCCTATTTTGTTTTCTTGCTGTCTCCTCATGTGACATAACATGGAAAGTGCTGTCACAAAAATGTCCCTTGGGAAAAGAACTGCAGTAGTCTGAGGTCTTTAAAGTTCTTCCCAGTCACCTGGCATCTTGTGGAATGGACCAGCCACTTCTATGAACTAGAAACTTTACCATCGTGACCTTGGTTCTCAAGGATGCAACTAACTCCAGCCTTCTGAGTAAGGTTCAGAGCCCTGTCCTCCTCCTCAGCCTGTACAGAGAAGAGCCGAAGCTGCCAGGCACCTTGGTTTCTCTCAGTGAACTCTTGACTGTCGTGTTAGCAGTGGGGTAAGTGATGGAGTTGCTTAGAGAAACCCAAGTCATTAGAAGGATGACTTAGACTATTTTCTGTTGCTATAGTTGAAGACCAGACAGGTTGGATAGTTTATTAAAAACGAAGGTTCATTTAATGAGTCATGGTTCTGGAGGGAGGCTGGGAAGCCAAGAGTATGGTGCCAGCATCTGGTGAGGGCCTTCGTGTTGCATCATAACATGGCAGAATGCATCACATGGCAAGATGCAGCAAACATGCTACCTTGGTTTGTCTCTTCTTGTAAAGTTACTAATCCCATCACGAAGCTCCTACTCCTGTGACCTCATTTAATTCTGATTACTTTCCAAAGACCTTACCTCCAAATACTATTAACATATGGCCATGGGGATTATGTGTCCAATATAGGTATTTTGGGGATAAACATCCAAACTATACTAAAGTTGCTCTTGCTGGGGTGGCCTGAGGTGTGAGGACTTCCCTCCAAAATACAGAGTGATATGGATTTGTGCCTGGCTTCAGTAACTATTCAAAAGAGAGTTGTGTGAATGCAGAATGTTCCCCGAGATAATCAGCCTTCTGACTGACATGGCTGGGTCTGAATGGGGCAGTTGTATTGTTTACTTTTGGTGCCATTTGGAGTGGGAGATAATGAGATCCTGGCCTCTTGAGGGAATGGAGCTGGTCTAGGATTTTCCTCCAGACAGCTGTGCTTGTAGCTTAAGCAATAGATCGATCTACCCACCAGCCCCTCAGGTGCCTGTGAGTCAGGCAACAACCAAGGACTACTAATGAGAGAGAAACACTAAAACTGAATCCAATGTCACCCCGTACTCCCTATAATTTTTAGTCCCTGTTCTCTTGGTGTAGCGTTCTTTACATAGCAGTCTTCGGATCATTAGTGATTGTACCGTGGTGGTCTGGAGACTGTCCCTTCTCTCCCTTTGTCCCAATGGATAGATACCTGTGCACAGAATTAACCAAAGGAGCTCATTAACAAAGACCATATCTTCCCAAGAGCACCAGGCTCCCTTTCTCTGAAAGGGGAGTGCTCCTGGGAGAAAGGGTTCCAGCAAACCTGGTCCCAGAGCCACAAGCCAGTAGGAGGGACCCACTTCTGCCCCTTCGTGGATTCCAACCCATCTCTGCTCCATTCATTGTGACTCAGAGGGCTTGGACCCAAAGCCTGGAGCAGTGTATGCATTGAAGGGTAGAGTGTCTCTGCCCTCTCATCAAGGTGGACACTGGCTGAAGACCAGGGGAGCCTGGATCCTTTCAGAGGGCTCCCCTTCTAACCTCTTTTCTTCCCTTCTTCTCTGGCTTTGGGGTTCCCATTTGTTTTTCTCTCTATATTTTCTTCATTATTATCTGACCGGCTCCATCTTCCAGGTTTTTCTCTCTATATTTTCTTCATTATTATCTGACCAGCTCCATCTTCCAGGTTCTCAGTTTCTGTTCTTCCCAGCATCTAAATCCAAGCTTTCCATTGCATGGCACCAAGTAAAATCTCAAAGCCACACTTTCACCCAATTTTAGATTCACACCTTCCAACTGACACCTCAGGGCTCAACTTAAAACTCCAGGTACACTTACAGGCCCTGATGAGATCAGATGTCCACTCTTGCCCAGTCAGCTGTGGGCAAGCAGATAAAAGTCAGATGGCAAAGTGAGATGTGCCATCCAGCCTGTGAACAGGAGGGTTCTTTCAGAAGTGGGTACGGCTAGTAGAGAAACCCAATGAACAAGAATTCCAAGACACTCTTGAAGGACACTCTCATCTCAAGTGGTCAAAGGGGAGAGATGGATCAAGAAGGAGACCAGGTAAAATGACAAGGGCTGAGCGTTGGCAGTGAGAACTATACCTGCCTCAGGTGACAGGATCCTGGGTGGTCTCCTGCCTCAGATAAGTTTCTGGATATATCAAGTTCAGGCACATTTCCACAAGTGACTTTGGAGTCAAACCATCCCATATTTGAGTTTTGGTTTGCTACTTAGGAATTATAGCATCTTGAATGGGTTACCTATCTCTGAGTGTTAATTTCATCTGAAAACAGTACCTCTCAGAATTGTAGTGGGATTAAATAATGTGGTAATATCAACATGCATCTTGTGGACAAGAAATCAGTGTTTAACAATTTTTAGTTATGTCTCTGTCCTAGGATCACAAAAAGCTCCGTGGATGTAATGGCCAAATTGGCCCTGTGGACATCTGATTGGGGGTTGCTAGGTAGTCTGCACTCTGAGAGAGGAAAAGTTTGAAGCTAATAGTGGCCTGGAACTTCTCATTGGTGGTTCCTTCTGCTTGGTGGCAATAACCTAGTCTCCTTGTGGCCACATCTCATTAGTACCCTACTGAAGGAGAAGATGCAACGGTTTGCAGTGTGAATCCAATCCACTAAATCCATACCAGACTCTGTCCCCAGCTGGCCAAGAAATGTGGGGCTCATTCCTCAGTCCCTGTTCAAAATCTTCATTTTCTGTGACTGTATTTTGGAGACAATCACAGTGCCTCTCTTAAAGGACTAAGAGAGATCCACAGGTGGGCCATTGTGCACAATACCCAGACCCAGTAAACCTTCACTGAACTGGGGACTGCTGTATAATCTGTGATGTAGAAACAAAATGGACAAAGAAGTGACTTGGGTTGGTGAAGGGACAGGTAAGGAACGGTGAGACGAGACCACAGAGTTTTGGGGTCTTACATTCCAGTTAGATCTTCCCAGAGACCACCACCCACCTACCCAAAGCCATCCCTTTGACAAGGAGAGTTAAATGCAGAGGGAAGGTGTCCGCTGGACAAGGACTGGGGGAACATCCACAGCAGAATGTTTCCACTTTATTGTCTGTAAACTCTTCTTTGGTAAACAAGAAGACAGGAACCCCGAAGAGAAAAGGAGCACACTGTGTACAGAAGGCAAGGAGAGGAGGGGTACCTTGCACAACAGAACTCCGAGAAGACAGCTACACCATTAGCGAGGTGGTGGACGGGAGCTGGGATGGGGCCAGGCAGGGGGCAGCGATGGGGAGGAGTCTACGCTGTTGGACGTCAAAGCCTAAATCCTACAGTGGATGAGCTCATGCATCACAGCAGAGAGAACAGGGAAGCTCCGCCCACGTTCCCACCCACCTTCCACGCAGCTGGTAACCCATGGCGGGCAGAGTAGTGTGCCTGGTCAGTGCTGGTTAGAGGCAGGCTTGAAGGAGGCCCCTAAGCCGCCTACCCTCAATCTCTTCTTCTTCTTTTGTTATCAGAAATTGAACTCAGGACCTTATGCTTGCCAGACAGGCGCTGTGCCACTGAGCCATATCCCCAGCCTACCCTCCATCTCCTCTTTCCTGCTCTGCAGGCTGGTGATCAGGTTGCAGGGGAGGTGGGAGGGGCACCCATGATCTCTGAGTCTGGGGAGAACTATGAGGGCTGCAGGGGCAGGGTTTGGGGTGGTAGAGGAACCCGTGTCCCCCTTTTTACATGGGAGGCTCGCTGCACAGCACAATCTCCAGGTCCTTTCGGTAGAGCTTGCCTGCCTCGGCCAAGGACATGACACTCTTTCTGTAGTTGGTGAGCTGCTGGATGTTCATTTCCTGGGTGACAGAGGCAAAGGAGAGAGCAGGGTCAGCAGAGGAAGATGCCACCCAAAGGAGCCCTCCCACCCAGTCACACCTGTCTGAGACTTTCATCTAGTCTGAGGGTGGGTGACTAGAGAGACCCAAAGGATGAGCTTTGCAGTCTGATGGACCTGGATTATTTTACTTTCTTGCTGCATCACTTTGGGGAGGCTGTCTTTCTGAGGCTCAGCTGCCTCCCCTGTGGAATGGGTCCATGAAGAGGATAGTACTTGCCTCCCCATCATTAGGTGAGTAAACTGATAGAAACTACATTTAGCACAACACTGTGCAAGACGGGGCAGTGACAGGGGTGCCAGTTTTTATTCTGCGTAAGGTTCCTTGACGCAGAGCCAGTCTGGGTCTCTCTGGCTGATGGAGACATGGCCAGGAAAGCTTCTTGCTGTTATCTCCAGGCTTTCTGGATCACACTTTCTTAAGCAGGTCCAATTTAAACAAGGAATTATGTTTCCTCCTGCAACAAAGCTCACAAGCCTACTCTTTGTTCACTGGCTTCTTGTTTTCAGGAACCACTAAGCTAGGTGATCCATGAATATATGCCCAGAGTCTCATGCAAAATGGAGGCCAGCGTTAAACAGAATTCCCATGTGCCACATACTGGGTACACACTTTATAATAATTGCTTTGGGTAAAAACAACAATGGTCTGAAATGTAGCAAGATCATTCCATCGTCAATACCAGACTATCACGTAAACGACTTTTTCTTTTGAGCTTTGCTTTTCCCCTTCCTCTGCCTCCTCCTTCCTCTTCTCTCCTGTCTTCTCCTCCTCCTATTTTTTTCTACTGCATTTTATTCTTCTGTATTGAAGACACTGGCAAATATTTTTTTAAAATCTCCATTCTTCTCTGAGAAAACTGAGGTATAAATACCAAAATATTCACTAAAGGTTGATCCAACTCACAAATACCCTTAGCTGACAGAGCCCTGATGTCTACCTGGCTCATTACCTGACTTGCCTGTCTTTAGTTTCTTTTTTTTTCAGTGCTCAGCAGTCAGTCTTTTTCTTGCTATTTGGGGGTATTCCTCCTGTTACTAACCTGGCTTGGTGCTGCCACCCAGCCCAAGGCACTTAAGCCTTTCCACCGTGGGGGCACCTTTCTTGAAGCTGTGAAGTCTGGAAATGTCGTCTGATTCCTCACACTGGGTGCACCAGAACTTTCATACAGAGTTTTCCGAGCCAGAAAACTCCCGAAACGAGGCTGCAAGTGAGTGTCTTAAAGGATGGGGCTGCTTACTTTCAAGGTCTCCAAGCATTACTTGAGACTGGGAAAGGCTTTTCTGAGTTGCCATGATCTTAGGTCTGCTGAGAAATATCGAAGCTCAATCCCATCAGCCAGGCCCTTCAGGAGCTTGCAATATTAATCTGTTAAGGAGCCTTATCACAGCCTATGCAGGCACCATCAAAATGGAGCTTCAGCTGCGGCGTGGGCTCCCCAAAAATGGCCATTCCCTTCTCAGCTTAGTTGCTGTTATTTAGTCATGCAGCTCCTGCTCTCTGATTCATTTTCTCAATCCCCAGGTGCTGAAGCTGGGGCCTGGTCCAGGTGGAAGGCTCTCAGGTAAACAGCGCTATTAATAGCCTGTTCTCTATACCCTTCAGAGTTGCTTCCAAATCTCAACACCCAAATCTTTGCCTTTGTTTCCACATCTGGAGCAAACCTGTGCAGCTTTGTGCATTGTCTTTCTTATTCAAGAAAGAGCCTAGGGAGTTAATGACCAGGAAATGCAGATCATTCTGAAATTGATATGTGCTTTCAGGGTTTATCAATCTCAGGTGTTAGACGGGACCTCCTGAAGACTAATCACACCTCATTAATTCAATTACAGCTAAAGATACTTTCCATTTATGGTCCCCAACGTTCCTTGGGTGCATAAGTATTTTTCAATAATGTGAGTGCCAGGAAAAGTTAGCTGAGTTCAAATACCTTGGTGAGAACTCCTCTTCCTAGGATGCATTTGATTCCTTATCATTTATTTTCTACCTCTTTGAAAAAGCACTTGTAAGGAACATGAAAAAAACATGTAAGATGAAATAAGTGAGGGATGATATTCAGGATGAAGGGAAAGAGATCAGAAAGTTCTTACAAAGAGAGGATGCAGGAAATTTCCCCGCCCTGAAATTTAGCATTCAGTTTAGTTCTTGTCTGGCAGCCAAAGCAGTTAGACAACTCAAGGAATTATAGAGATTTCATCATCTAATTAAATAAAGCAGCAGAATCACTTGGCTCATGAAAGATATTTTTCAGGCCATGAAGGAAGACAGCTGCAAAGGCCTGGTCTCCTAGTGCTGTGTCATTGGATCTCCTGGCCATGGGACCAGGGGACCTCCTGGAGGGGAAGGTGCCTGCAACATACCCAAGAGCCAACACCAGGCAAAAGCATGGGGGTCACCACTGAGCCTCTTCTCTGGGAGGAACAAACACTTTGTTGATGCCTTTCAACTGCTTCCCAGTTCTGGGTCAGCACTTAACCAACTTTAGAATAGCTCTCCTCTCCCTGACCCCTGCCCTCCTAATCACTCTCTGTATTGAAAGTCTTTCTTCTTGGCAATGTGGCTGACACCTCTACGAGCCTGGCTGCGTCAGAGCTGCCACCGCGGCCTCACGGTGTCATTCATAGCAGCCTGTGGGAGCGACCAAGAGTCCTCAGACACAATGCAGTTTACACAGTCAAGGCAACAGTACTCGGCTTTAAAAAGGAAGGAAATGCTACAACACGGATGAATGCGGGGAAGAGTATGTTAGGGAAATGAGCCGGTCATGAAGCGTTTGTGTGATCCCCTTTGATGAGGGTCCTGCCATAGTTCAGTAGTTAAATTTATGCCGGCAGCAAGTAGAATGGATGTCAGCAGACGGGAGGTGGGGACTGGAGAGTTATTGTTTACTGGGCTATTGCTATTCAGCTGTGCAAGATGGGAAAAGTTCTGGTCACGGATGGTGGTGATGTTAATACAGCATTATAAATATATTTCATACTGCAGAAATGTGTGCTTAAAATGGTTGTGATGATAAGCGATGTTACATGCATTTTACCATACAAATACAAAAAAAAAAAAAAAAAAAAAACCCAATCAACCAGAAATAACAAAAACAGCCATTGCCTGGTGGTGGCAGCTCAGAGGAGAGTGGAGGGCAGCCCAGGCATTTCCTACCCTGTGCTCTGGGAACCTTGTCCAAGACCCTGGGCTCCCATTCTCACCTTCTTGTTCTTCTCGTAGAGATCCTTCAAAAGGGCATCCAGTTCATTCTCATCAATGTAGCCACTTCCATCCTAGGGGTGCATCAGAGAGTCAGCTTAGAGCTCTGAGACCCAGCCCTAGCTACCCTGACCTTGTCTCTTGGTTCCTCCCGCCCATTCTAGGAGCACTCAGGCCTGACCTTGCCACTGTGCTGTGCAAATGCAGGTGTGCAGATCACGATCATGAATAACTGGTTGCTTCTGTCTTTATAGTCAGTGCAGGCACAGGGCAGTTCAGTGCATTCTTTTTAGCCTCATATAAATGCGGTTCCAGCACAGTTAATTCCTTGGTCAGAGGGTTACTTAAAGACCCCACACTCTTAGAGGCTGAAGCATGAGGGTGGTAAGTTCAAGCCCAGCTTGGGGAACTTAAAAACTTAGCAAGATCTGGTTTCAAAATTTAAGAAAAGAGAAAAGAAAAAGGGTGGGGATGTAGCTCAGCGCAAAGGCCCTAGGTTCAGTCCTCAGTAGTGGAAAAGAAGAGTCTGACTCTAACATCTGGTTATAGAGAAGATCACTGGACTCACATGGGCTGGACAGCTAAGGGAGGGGAAGGGGAGGGCAAGGAGGTCATCTCACTCCCACAGTCCTAGGAAATGACTGGCCCCAGTGTGCCATCATCCCCGGGCACCATCGCAATCACATCCTAGCTCTGAGCATAACCCTTCCTGCTAACTATTCTCCACTGAGCTTTCAAGAAACCTCATTCTTAGGTTCTATAGGCTGCACATTGAGAGTGACATTTTTCTTTGTCACACAGCAGAAGACCCTGCAGGAAGGAACCACGTGGCCCAGGGGCCTCTCTGGAAAGATGGTTTCTTAGCATAGATGGAGCGGAGCCACCGTGGCCAGGGCTGCCCTGCTCGCCACACTGTTGCTTCTCACCTTGTCATAAAATGTGAAGATGGCATTGAACTCTTCTGAGGTCAGCTTCATGCCCTGCAAGAGTCAAGGCATTAACAAAAGAAGCAAAAGCCCCAAGTGTATGAGTGTGTGTGTGTGCATGCATGCATGTGTGTCTGCACACGTGCATGTGTGTGTGCATTCCATTTTGGGGCACAGAGGGGTGGGAAGCTGAAGCTCAGAGAGGTGAGGGGAAAGGAGGAAGCAAAGTGAAGGAAATTGGCTCTTTTACCTGAAATTTAAGTAGGAAGTTTTCCTGTACAGGCAAGAGTCTGGAAAAAAAATGTGAGAGCAGAGATTAGGAGACAGGGCCCAGGCAAGAATCATGAGATGGGGGATACTGAGCAGCGTCTCTAGTTGTGGAATCCACTGCTGATTTCTTGAGTACTTCTTCATTAGCTATTGGTAGAAAGTTCAAAAAAGAGGGAGACGGACATTCCTAACTCCACCTGGCCTTGCCTTGGGCTTCATGACCCCTGGACCTGTCACTTTTCCCATGAGTGATCTCAGCAATGCAGATGGCAACTCAGGAGCCAAAGTGTTCAAAGCGGTACTTGCCGAGACATCTCCGAGAGGCCCAATTTGCCATCCCCATTTAAGTCGAACATCCGCAGCTGTTGGGGACAAAAAGAGGAGCTGGGGTCAGTTGCTTTGACCTTGTCTCATATGCAGCCTCAAGCTGCCATCCCTTCCCACTGGAGACAAGAGGCAGGTGGAGGGTGCTTATGCCTCCTCTTAGGTCACCAGGAAGCTGGGGACCAACATGTTCTAAATGGTCACTAGGAGAGATAACGTGGACTCCATTCCTGCCCATCCTTCCTCTTCTCATAGCGGTGGCCAAGGCACAGCACTAAAGGCCCACCTCTCCAGGTCCCCCCACTCCTGGAGCTATAGAAGTTGCCATGGAAACAGATGCTCTCCCCACTCCCTGTGTCACACTGGCCCAAGAGTCAGCTCAGAGGGGACCTCAAAGGGTATGTGGGGCCATGAACCCGCACCTCCAATGCCAGTAGCACTCTGAGTCACTTCATGCAGGCCTGAGAAACCAAAACACAAACGGCCTTGCACTCCAGAACCCCCCAGGGGCTTGTGGCCCAAGCCCTGCTCCCCAGGGAAGGGATACATCTGTCCACTCACTATGGTTTGGGTATATTCCTGGAGCTTAGGCTCATCATACGGCCGGTTGGCCTTCTTCAGCAGGTCAGACAGGAATCCCTGGAACACAAAAGACCTCTTCAAAGCTAGACTCATGTGATCCCTCATTCATGTGTTCACTGATTCAGTGATTCAGTGATTCATTCAACATTGTTTGATGAGGTCTACCAGTTATACAGCTTATGTCTCTCATTCCTTAACATTCATGGAGTGAATTTGGAAGTCTTGGGTGGCTCCTAGAACAACCTGGTCCCACAGAACAGGTAGCAGAGGGTCAGCCCAGGGTCACAGGTGGCCCAGAGGAATTTGGGAGTGGATGAACAAGCTAGAAGTCCCCTGGAATGGCCTTGAAGATGCCTGTCCTGACCTCTAGCTTGTGCTTTGCTTGAACTCTGTGACCCAGCAAGCTCCATATTGCTCATTTCACAGTAACAAGTCCAACAACTGAGTGCCAGGCTTTAGTCCTCTTAAGCAGACCACAAGTCCATGCTCTTCACCCAGTACCTCCTCCCTCCACGGGCTCTTTACCTGCACTGTCACTCTGCCCTCAGTCTTACCCTCTGTGCCCTCCACACCTGCCCATGCCCCATCCTACCTTGAGCTCGTTGGCCTCGATGTAGCCACTCCTGTCTGTGTCGTATTTTCGCCATGCCTGAAACGGATTCACAAAGATGTATCAAAATCTCCGTGTCTCCCTTCCACTTCTCCCTAATGGACCAGTCAGGGGCTTAGTATTCAGGAATATCTGGGTGGGCTGGGGACACAGAGGTGTTCTAGCCCAGTCCCTTCAGGATCACAGAGGAGGAGATGAGGAGGTATCTCGGTCAAGGTCACACAGAAGGAGGAAAACTGGAAAAGGTCTCCCCACTCTGCCTTAATCCAGGCGTGGGTCCCTCCTGGGATCATCTTTTAGCCAGGCAGCTTCTATCAAGGGTTAGCACAAGAGCTAGAATAAGATCTGGTGGGTCTTATTTTAGCTACGGTGTGATGGGGTATCCTTTTACTTCTCTGAAAGCTTATATTAGGTGGGGGTTACAGGCAAGGGAAAGAACCTTCTGGACATGGCAGAAACAAACTTTGATTACCTCTAATATACTCTTTCCTCCATCATGATGTATTTGAAAGCCATATTCAATGGTGAAGAATTGTATTATAGCCAATTTTTTTTAGATCACTAAAGCTACTCTGCTCTCTTTTGATATAAAGCATCCTCTTCCTTCCAAATAGGAGACCACTCACACCTCCTGTCAATCCATATGGTCAAGAGAGTTGACTCCTTCCCAGTGGCAGGCGTGTGAGTGACTCCTGGCCAATCAGACCCCTCCCCGGATCCATCCTATAGTAGTTCTGGGCTCTAATCTGAGTCTCGGTTGTTCGGTACATGTATTCTATCCCTGTGAGGGTCTAGGTCACAGCCTGGTAACCACAGAAACTGCCATCTTCATTTCTTTGATCAAGGGAGGCAGTTTCAGTAGGAGCCGTGGATCTGATCACCTCCCTCTTCTTTACTGTGGCTGTCAGAACCGGAGAAAGCACAGTTGTCATGGTTTTGAGATTTTTACCAATTCTTCCCTTCCTTGAATGTAGACTAGACTTAGTGACTCACTTCTGCGAGAATATGGCAGATATGACAGCGCTGATTTCTGAGACCAGGACATCCATGGTAGATATGGTGGCCTCTTCCTTGCTCTCTTTTGGATCTTTCCCTCTGGAGGAAGCCAGCTGCCATGTCATAAGGGTTCTTGCACAGCACTACCAGGAGAGTCTCATGTAGGAAGTAACTGAGCTTTCCCAGCCAACAAGCAGAAAGGAAGAGAGGCCTCTGGCCACCAGGCATGTGAGTGTGCATGGTGGAATTGTCATACTTTGCAGTCCCAGTCAAGCCTTCAGAGGACTGCCCTGCTGACATCCTGACCATGAGTTCATGACAGATTCTGGGCTAGTGCCCTTACCTAAGCCGTCCCAAGATTCCTAATCCAGTTATGATATAATAAGTGCTTCTTTAGGCTGCTAAACTTGGGGACTAATTTGTTACGCAGCAATAAGTAACTAATACAATGTCCTAAAGAGGTACAATCTATTATTCTAGAATCTGGTGGAGACAAGGGAATGGCATGGTGGGGGGCTGGGGTAGGGGGCAGGGCATAGTTTATGGCAAAGAGGCCCAGAGAACTCTGTTCCCCTTAATTTTGATGCCTCAAAATTCTTAGATTTTTCTTTCAACTTTTGTTCCCTTGGCTTTTCCTTGCTTTGTCCCCAGCTCCAAACTGTCCACCTGAACACCAGCTACACCTGGTTTTCAGAGAGCAGCACCAATTCTTTCCTAATTTTCATCTTTAGCTTCCCTCACTTCTCCACACGTATCACAGGAGAGCCAGAGTTCACAGACAATACAGTCTTCCTTTTACATCAGCAAACCAAGCAGTGGTTTCCCTGGGGTATGAGGCTTAGGGCATTTGGTCCTGATGTTTTAAAGTTGTAAGATGCAAGCAAATCTCAGCAAAAGAACAGACATGCCCGAGACATGCTATGTGATCAGGTGAGGATCTTTTCTTTGGAGGAAAATAATACTCTGGGTTCCATAAAAATGTTTTCTTCCTACCTTTGAAAAGGTACTAAGAGATATATGCAACCTTCCAAATATGACTTCACCAACCACCTGCTGTTACTTCATGCATTAGAATTTACGTTCTCAGAGGAGAGTCTTGACTGAGAAATGAGGCAGATACTCCAAGTTGCCTCAAAGGGACATGCCCAGAAGGAACCCCAGCCCCAGACAGAGTAGAGTGCAGACGCTGCTTTTCCAAGTAATCAGACTTGCAGGTCTGACCTCCTTTCCTCGTCCTTGCCTGGATCTACCCCCACCTGACACTGGATCTAGGCTCTGAAGATCAACTTCTTTCCCTCCAGCATTTTGTCTATCCATCAGGGTGTCCTCATTCTCTTCTCATTCAAGAAAAAGAGTTCAAGAGACCTGGGCTTTGTGAAATCTCAAAGAAGTCCTGAGGTGTCCCTAAAATTAGATGTTAAAATGTTGTACTGAGCAGTGGGATGGGAGAGTACAAGGCTTTCAGGGCTCCTGAGGGGCTATTTCATGTTTCTGGCTGATAAAAACAGAATAATGTATAACCCTGGTTAGGGCTGCTACTGCTGGAATGTGGGGTCCCAGGGAAATGAGGGTGCTGGCTCTGAAGTAATGCTAGGGCTCAGAAGGATAAAAGGCTTATAAGAATATGGAATCATGTCAAATGCAGAGAAAAATCACTAAGGAGGAGAGAGACAGAGAGACAGAGACAGACAGACAGACAGACAGACAGACAGACAGAGATTTTGCTCCTCTTGAAGCTCCATTAAGACTGTCCTCAACTCTGTCCCAAACCAAAGATGGAGTAGGGACCAATCTCTTTGGCCACCTCCTTATTGGGAAGGGTGGAGAAGGTCTCAAGCAGACTGTTTTCTACATAGAGAAAATGTACATTTGCAAAAGTGGCATCCTGACAAATTGTAAGAATATGCTGGCCAGATGAGCAAGAGAACAACTAAGAACAGAATCCAAAATGTCAATTACCAGCTTATAGACTCTTGCTATCTTGGAAAAACTGGAGAAAATTCTTTAAAGCACCATAAAATTAAACTCATATTTGAAAGCTTAGGCAAACTACACTCAAAAAATGACTCCTCCATCCCAAGAACTGATTCTTCTTATTGCCTCTATCCCTGCTTTCTGGCCCACTGCCCTGTGGAAATCTGGACTGGGTGGGCAGTGGTTCCACGCAGTGGATTCTGGAGAGGGGATTATCAGGGCTGGATATGGATTTAATCAGATGAATGGCAACTCTGACAGTCACTCTGAAAGCCAATTTCGGTGCATCACAGCAGGGGGTTGGTGTGATGGGGATGGGTTGAATTTCACTCAGGGATGCACACACTGGCCCAGGTGAGTGTCCCAGAAAGACAGCAAGAAATAATTGGTACTTTGCTAGATGTCAGGATTAGCAAGATAATCGGTTGAGCCATATGGAATTTCCAATTTTTGCATGTAAAAATAGTTCAGTATCAGCAAATATATGTGGTCCAGTCCACCAGTTGGATACTACTCAAAGGTATTTGATCTTAGATATCAAAAGTTGGAGAAAGTTGGACATGGTGGCATATGCCTGTGAGTCCAGCACTCTGGGAGGCTGAGGCAGGAGGATTGCAAGTTTGAGCCCACCAGGGACAACTCAGCAAGATGTTTTTTCAAAATAAAAAATGGATGGGGATATAGCATAGTGTGAAGCCCTGGATTCAACCCTGAGTACCACTCCCTCCCCACAAGTTAGATGTGAGGATATTAAAGTGTTTCTATTGCAAATGGGGGTAATGCCCATTTTGGAAGGGAGCCATGAAGCCCGACCTGTCAAACCTCTAACCCAGAGGACAACAGGAACCGGGGGTATCACTGGGCTCTTCCGGCTTTCGAATGGCACACAAATCCTTCCATCCCTTCCCAGCCTGCTCTTTGGAACTCTTGATTTCAAGGGACAAGAATGTTACTCCTCTGATAGAGAACTACTAATGTCTTGAATTTACAAAAAGTCTTTAAAAAATGACCCCCCAATAAAAGACCCAATCAAAAATGGATAACCAAAATAATTAGATGCTTCTCAGAAATACGAATGGCCAGGAAATACATGAAAAAAGCTTGTTATCTCTGCCTATCAGAGAAATGTAAATCAAAACCATATTGAGATTCTGGGGGCTGGGGGTGTAGCTCATTGGCATAAGCGCCTGCCTTGCAAGTATGCGGTCATGAGTTCAATCCCTGGTAGTGATAAAAAGGAAAAAGACCAAAAAAACCAAGAAAAAAAACCCCCCAATATTAAGATTCCACCTTACTCCAAAAAACACAGCCATCATCAAGAAACAACCAAACAAGCTAAGAAACATAGCTGCTGGTGAGTCTGCCAGGGAAAAAGGAGTCTTTTTACATTGTTGCTAGGAATGTAAACTGGTAAATTATAAATCACTATAAAAAATCAGAGTCAGTGGAAGATTCTTCAAAAAAACAAAAATAGAAATTCCATTTGATCCACCTGTTCCCCTCCATGTATCTTCCTGAATCATTTACAGACACCACAGTGAAAAATGCCCCATTTATAGCAGCACAATTCATAATAACCAAATCTTAGAAGTATCTATATACCCACCAACAGATGAATAGAGAGAGAAAATGTGGTTTTTACACATAAGGAAGTACTACTTGGCCATAAAGAAAAATATTGAGTCATTTGTAGGAAAATGGATGCACTTTGAGACCATCATGTTAAATAAAGTAAATCAGAAACACAAAGATCACATGGTTTCTCTTATATGAAAAACTCAAAATATAAATGAAGAGCAAAACAAAAGACTAGAAAACAGGGAGAGAGATCATTTGCAAATGGGAATGAGATCCAGAGTGGGAGAGAGGTGGGAGGGAGGTGAGGGGAAGAAATGAAAAAAATTAAAATAGGTATGTGTATCTATTTCTTACAATGCATGTAAACATATATTGCAAACATACTAATAAAAAATATAAAAAATGTTACCAAGTGGTGAAACATCCTGGAGCAAATGGCATGGAACAAGATTCTTCTCTGCAGGGCTTCTCAATCATATGCAAATGTCCACCACAATTCCCAAAGGCTCCTCTATGCACGTACACAACATCTTTTAATTGCCCTGACTCAAATTTACTTTTCGACTTGTCCCTACACTATGGTTCACGAATGCTGCCTGAGACAAGGTGCTGTTAAAGTGTGGCTTCTGAGTCCCCGGAGCAGTGATTTCACCAAGTACCCAGATGACGCCATGCTGCGGGGCCATGGACCACACCTTGAGTAGCAAAGCCCTCAGTGGCTCAGTACCTCCCTGGAGCCATCCTCAGGCACCAAGGTGGACCTGGATCTGCACGAGAAGAAAGGTGGGGTCCCAGCACCCAGAGAAGGCAGTGCCTTGGCCTCACCTCCATGAACTCTGCGCTGGAGCCCACGTGCTGCCGGAAGCACAGAAGGAAGTTCTCTTCTGTCGGCAGGATCTGTGCCAGCTAGGGGACACAGAAAGGGACACAACATTCAGGAGGGACATCAGGGGGCAGAGTGGACTTTCCCATAGAAAGGAGGAAAGGGCCAGTGGAGAGGCAGCGTGGAAGTCACATTATGCCATCTTTTTGGAGAACAGAGACTGGTGGCTCTTTAATGTGGAAAAAAAGCCATTCAGGGAAGTGCTTCCGGGTTACACCAGTCCGTACGGTAAGGGCAGCTGGACACACCGGAAGCAATGCACCTTTAAAATGCAAGCACCCAGATTCCAAAGATCACTCAGTAGATGATTCCGTGTATCTAAAGCTCTAAACTATGCAAACTAATCTAGGTTTGACTGATGCGTTCTGGGGTGAGATACCCTGCACCAGGCAGGAAGAACATTTCGAGGATGCCAGTATGGCTGTATCTGGATTGAGACAGTGATCTCATGACTTAAAATCTAAGCTTACAGAATTTTGCACTGTAAGTGGATGCAGTTTATTGCATGCAAATTCGTACCTCTGCGATTTGATTCTGAAGCTACTCAGGTGCCCTCTGCTACCTGCTCACTCAGCTGCCAGAGTACTTGGCACACACGTGTCTGTATATAAGCATGACTACATGTGTGTATGCATAGATAGGTGCATATATAACTACATATAAATTATATGTAATATAAAGCTCATGTTTATATTTGCAAATTACCTATGTCAATTATATGTATAATTTTTATGTATTTTGCCTTTGAGACAGGATCTTACTATATAGCCTAACCTGGCCTTGAGCTCAAGATCTTCCTGCCTCTGCCTCCTGAATGCTGGGATTAGAAGCATGTGCCACCATGCTGAGTTCATAGTTTTGTCTCTGGAATCCTTCAGGTGGGGCATGAACTCTCGCAATTACCAGTCTCCACTCTCTCCTGCGTTAAGCTGGTTTATCACATGTTTATGATGCCTATTGGACCTTGAATGCATTCTCCATCGATCTGGCTTCCTCTTTTCTTTGGTGACACACAGGAAAAACCCCACCAGTTCTCTTTAGTCAGCCCAAGAAGTGGGGTGGGGGACCCTTCAGGCCATCCCTCCTTAAGGTCCCTAGGAGATGTGTGTGCCCAAGAGAGGCACAGGGGACAGAGAGCCCCTCCACACAGCCCCTGGCCAGCACCAGGTGCTCACCTCCGCCATCTCGATCTTCCCATCCGAGTTCTTGTCGTACTTCTGCATGAACTCCTTCATCTTTTCCCCAAGGTTGTCACTCTTTGACGTCTGCAGGAAGAGAAAGGGGGCTGATTTTCAGCCACATCCCGTGGGCATCATGAGCCTCCGTGCAGCAGCGTGAGGAATGACCTTGCATCCGTGACACGCAACACAGACCCAGGCGTCGCCCGGGGTCTGAGAGATCAGGACTGCGTCGTTTTTCTCATCAGATGACTCCCGATGGAGTCATCTCTTCTGCATGACTTTGTCACGTGAGTTTCGAAGGGGGACAGGACACACAGGCATGCTCGGTACTAGGTAATTAAACATCCCTCTCTGCTTTCAGGATGGATTCGACCTCGGGCCCCTCACACACTAATTCCCAGCACACAGAGGTGAGAAAGGAGGCCCCTGCATTTTACAGAGACAGCTTGTGACACAACCCAGCTTACTCTGGTGCCTCCAAAACAGGCTCTATGCACTCCATCACAGCATGCGAATTGCTTGTTTGCTTCTGCTGAGACCAGCAATCCCGTAAATATTTCTTACTCGGACTGTTTTGTTTTTTGAGCCAGGATCTCACTAGATACTTCTAGCTCAGACTGGCTTTGAACTTGACATTCTCCTGCCTCAGGGTCCGAAATGCAGGGAAGACAGACATGTGCTACCACAGCCGGGGTTCCTACTCTGTGCCAGATCTAATGTGAGGATGAAGTCATCACACAGCTGAGAGATAATTTAAAGAGTTCACTCAGTGATTCTGAGTGTAGGGAAACAATGAACTTAAAAGTCCCATTAACCCATTATTTCCTCTCTTAAATACAAGACTCTCCGGGAGTTCTCAAAGCTTCCCTCGGTTTGGGACACTGCTGACTCACTGCTTGCATTAGGGAGCATTTCCTCCTCCTTAACCAATGATGAAGCCACCATGGGCATCTGGCGGGGCTTGAAGGTTCCTAGGACTGGGTCCACAAAAATTTCTTTTCTTTCTTTTTTTGGTCTTTTTCCTTTTTATCGGTACCGGGGATCGAACTCACGACTGCCTGCTTGCAAGGCAGGCGCTTATGCCACTGAGCTAAACCTCCAGCCCCCACAAAAATTTCTGAGAGTCTTTTCTGAGTCTTTTCTATCACTTTTTCATTTTTGGACCGAGTCTTGATTTGCCAATCTTTATTGGTTGATCGATACTTATTTATATTAAAAATATGCATGGCATAATGCTAGGCATTTATCATAAACAGGGTCCACCTAGTTGAGTTTTACACTGGCCTCTGTGAAATTAGGGATCTCTCTACTCCAACGGAGTGCAACATAAAGTGACTTTTCAGGAGGTCCCTTGGTTAAGCGGGGCCAGAATTTAAACTCATAGCTCCTGCTTCCAAGACCAAAAGCTTTTCACCTCCTAGCAGCTGCTCTAAATCCCAGTCCTGCATGATAGTAGTTGAGACTGTTGTGGATGGACTTGAAAATTCACCCTGAAGTCATTTTGAGGAAGTGAATGACTAACAGGAGAACTTTACAGTTAAAGCACGTTATTATCACACTCCATGATCCCAAAATCAGTTCTGAAGCCCTGACTGTCCTAGTGAGGAGGGTTGGTGAGGGTACAGTTGATAAACAAATGCATGACTCACCTTCAGCCCTCCTGAGCCCTGGCTTTGACCTCTTTCTAACCGGGATGCTCTGCTGAGAGTGTTGAACCAGAGCTCACGGTGCACTCATGACTCATCTCTCAGATTGCTTCCAAAAGAGCTGCTAATAAGCAGTGGATTGGCCTGCAGACACACATCGGGGCAGAGGGCACGCACAGGCCCCGAGGGAGCTTCTGGGTGAGAGTGTGCTCCACATGTCCTAGAACCAGTCACGGGAATCGTGACTGACCAACTCTGATCACGCTAGCTTTCCGGTGTTTCACGCATCTCCCCCAGAAGTCTTTAGCAAACTCAGTGGGGCACCAAAGGAAACAACACTCCTGTTGGTAAGGGGTCAGGATGTGATCTGGAATCACGTTGGGTGGGCTCAGAAGTTTGTGAAATCCCTGCACCCAAGGACAGCCAGGACCATCTGGGGATCAGATACTGCTCAGCAAAATACTCAACTAGGTCTTGATGGGGGTTCTAGCCTTGGTCTAGGATAGTGATTCTCTACTGAGGATGATTCTGGCCCCATCTCCCTCCCAAGAGACACTTGGTAATGGTGAAAGACATTTTTGATTGTTAAAACTTCAAGAATAGTGCAGCTGGTATCTCATGGATAGATGAAGGGAAGTTACTAAACATTCTACAATGCACAGAACGATGAAAACTTATCTGGTCCCAAACATTCATAGTTTAGAGGCTAAGAAACTCTAGTGTAGAAATCAGGTACTACAGGTCCCCTAGGCATCCAATCTTGAGTAGCAAACCTTCTGAAGCATTTTAGAAAGGCAGTGGACTCAGCCTCTAAGAAAAAATAATTTTTATACTGCACATTCATACATAGATAGATATGTAGTTTTGGGGGTCCATTAATCCCTGGTGCCTAGGATGGTCACCCCTCAACCCCAGACACCCAGGTATATTAAGTTAACATGCTCTTGGGAGAGTATTCTGTCTTATCTTGATCTTTACAGAGAAAAGACAAACTTTAAGTGCCAGGACCAGAAACTTCAGGCCTGTTGGGGGTCACATAGCCTGCTTAAAGGTCACATAGGTCAGGGTGACAGAAAACCCCTCACTATGGCAGAGGGGGTGTGGGCTTACCATGCCAGAGCCTTTTCTTGCCTTCTCCAGTTCTTGAAAAAAGTTTTCTAGTTCTTTACCTTCTATATACCCATTTCCTGTAAGATAAAAAAACAAAAAGTTGACTTCAGAGGTGAGTAGTCCAGCGGGAGTGAGAGAATGGGGGACGTTTGGGGCTTCTCGGAGAACCATCCCCCTTCTGGCCCCCAGGCAGGTGTGACGGCTGGCAGTGCTGGGCAAAGGGCACTAACATGTAGAGATCCATGATATGATGTTTGTCCTTGGGCTCCTCTGCCAGAGGACAATAGAGGAGGAGCTAGCAGAGGTGGGGACCCTGCAGGCTATGATCTTTGTCCACTACTTTCTGGACCAGCACTTGGTGCTGGAAGTCTGAGAGGGGACAGTCATTGACATCAGGGTTTGTCATCAGGTGGCAGAAGCCAGGTCCTTGGTGTTAGGAAGGTGTACAGAGAGGAAATGTGGGGTCCCAGAATCCATGTTTACCTGGGACCTCAGAATGTGACCTTACTGGGAAGTGTGTTTGTAGATGTCCTTAGTTACAACCAAGTGTTAGGGTGGGGACTAAATCCAGTGGCTGCGGTCCTTATAGGAAGGCTGGGTGAAGACACAGGAGGGGCAGGAGGGTTGTGTGAAGACAGAGCTGAAGACTGGAGTGAGGCCAAGGAACGGGGTGGATGGCTAGCAACTTAGAGGCAACCTGGACGCTGGACATGGAGGTGGAGTGAAGTCTCCCTCAGAGCCTCTGGCAGGACCCAACCCTGCAGACGCACACCTTGACTTTAGACTTTGAGCTCCCAGAACTGTGAGAGGATACATTTCCATACTGTTGTCATCCGGTTTGAGGTATTTTGTAAGAGCAGTGTTAGGAAACCAACACAAGGGCACAGTGAAGGAAAATTGTTTAACCCATCTCATCCACGGAATCCATAGTGACCGCAAGCAAATGGGGTTCTGTGTGGAAATCACACAGTCCTTTCTGAGAACATCACGGTATTTCTTAAATTCAACTGCCAGAACCTATGTATATAACGGAATGAACTTGAGGAAGAAGTGTAGCTCACAAGGTCAAAGCCTGGCTGGCTGGCTGGTCACAGGAGCAGGGAGGGGTCCTTCAGGCTCTTACACCTTGAGCCCAGGCAACCCAGATGCCAGGGCTGAGCTGTGATGGGGCGGGGGGCAGTGCTCCCAGGCTTTAGCGCTTATAGAATCTCCTGGGGGATCTTTAGAAACTATGGACATCCCACCTCCAGACATTCTGCTGTAATTGGCTTGGAGTATGAACTAAGGATCATGATTTGTTTTTTTTATAGCAGCCAAGTGATTTTCATGGACATCAAAGTTAGAACACTGCTGGCCTAAAGTCAAGTTCCATACCCGATCTAAACCAGCTGAGCAAGGCTCCCATAGAGGGGGTTCACTGTGAACAGGAAAGGGTGGAACGCTTTCGTCAAGGGGTGAATATTTTCTTTCAATAAATGCAGTTACAGATTTAATAGAAAAAAAGCATTTGTCCTGGCTTTTGGGGTGAGATGGGGTTGAAGGCTCGTCCCAGCCTCTTTTCCCAGTGCCCCCTGAGAACTTAAAAGATGAATAAATAACCTACGAGGTCCTCTCTAGTGGGAAGATCCTACAAGAGAATCACAAAACCTAAGTGGTGCTGTTTAGTTTGCAGGGAAAGAGATAGTGTGGTCATGCGAGGGGAGAGAGACTTGAGTTATTTCCTAGGATGGCAGGCTGGTCACTGTTGTAGGCATTCTGCGAAGCTTCTCTGGAGAGCTGGAATTTCACACGGTTCCACAGCCCCCAGGGCTGCTGCTGGTGTGGAGAAGGAAGGGCAGGGACAGAGAGGTAAAGAGGCAGTGCTCCAGCTGCTGGTCCTCTGTGGTGGAGGTGGTTATTCTCTCCCTGGTCACTCCCTGCAGTGATCTGGCTATTTTCCCGTTGCTGAGGTGCAGTTTCCTCTTGACTGAGAAGGCAAAGTCATGTCCTTCTCCTGGAGGCTTCGGAGAGTCGGTCTGGGAGGTAGAAAGCTGAGCTCAGCTCGGGGTCCATCTGCAGCTTCTGAAACCCGAGGCTGGGGAAGGAGGTGTGTGCAGGGGCTCAGAGCTGGTTCCATAAGCAAGGGCCGGGGTTCAGAGAGGCAGCAGCCACAGGGTCGGGGGCCCCAGCCAGACTGGGCAGATGCTCAGAGGAGCATGTGTGTATCTGTTTCCTGAGTGTATTAGGAGGCGAGGGAAAGAAACCAGAAGGACAGGGCTACAGAGCAGCACAGCAGCTTTCAAAGGGCGAGCTCCACTAGCTGTCAACAGCGTCCCCGCCTGCCCCTCGGTTGGGCCCCTGCTTGTACAGAGTTTTGTGCAGACACTGGGTGCACTGCCATTTCCTCTCCAGCATCTCTGCGCTGTTGAAGGGATCTGCAAAAATTACTGGCTGTTCTGCCACGGCACCAAAGCCTGGTTCTTCTCCTACCTCGCTCACATCCAGAGTAGAGAGACCAACTCTGAATCTCAGCTTCTTCACCTATAAAACGGAGTCAATGACAGTGTCTTTCTCCTGCGGTCGCTGTGAAGAGCCAGTGAGATGCATCACATATCTGAAATGCTGGCTGGTAGTGGTCTCAAAACTGCCTGTGAGCCAGGCCTGGTGACACAGGCAATCTGAGCTCTTCCAGAGGCTGAGACGGGAAGATCGCAAGCTGGAGGCGAGCCTGGGCAACTTATTTTGAGACCGTGCCTCAAAATAAAATCTAAAAAGTGCTGGGAGTGTAGCTTAGTGGTAGAGGGCCCCCGGGTTTAATGTGCAGGATTACAAAGAAAATAGAAAAATGAAAAGAAAGACAGAAAAAGAAAAAAAGGAAAGAAAGAAAGAAAGAAAGGAGAGGTCCTGGCCCCATTTCTGTGTTCTGCCAAGCACAGGAATACCCAGCCTTGGGCTTCTTGCCTCGAGCCCGGATACTGGAGGAGCAGGAAAAGGAGAACACAGCAGGTAGGGCCAGCACTGAGCCTGCTCCACCGAACCGCCGTTTGAACCCAAAGAAGAAACAGTAGAAAAGCACAGACCTGTGGAAGCCACTTTTCCCAGAACTTACAAGGAACACATTTTATTTTTACCCTGTCTTGTTTGAAGGTCTGGAGGTGGGTTAACAGCCTCAAGAACTCAAGCAGCCAGGCCCTTACTGAAGCCCATGGCGTAGGAAACTTCTGAACATCAACAACCTCGTTATGGTTGGAACATCTTTCATTTTTAAAAGCACTTTTGACCTCTTTCTTTGGTTCGGCAGGTAATTTTTTTTTTTATTCTATTTTGAGAAAGGACTTTGCTAAGTCGCTAAGCTGCCCAGCCTAGGCTGAAACTTTTAGTCCTCCTGCCTCAGTTTACCAGAATCCCAGGATTACAGATGTGCACCACCCTGCCCAACTAGCAAATAATTTAAGGCTTCACTACATGCAAGGCCTGTGTGAGTTGCCAGGGGGATGACTGATGTACAACAAGCAGCCTTGCCTTCTGAGTGGCCACAATCCCTTCCCAACCACAAGACCACCACTGGGCGGTAGGATCCTTTTCTGGTGACAGAAGAAACTGAGGCTCAGAGAAGGTGAGCAATTCACTCAGATCACACAGCGAGACAGGAACAGAAGTGGAGGATCCTAATTCCTAATTTCCGATGCAGGCTTTACTCTTTCACCTATTCAACATCTGCAGAGCATTCATTCTGTGTGAGCTTAGTTCCAGGCACTGGAGGCACAGGGGCAAGCCACACAGGTCTGGTGACATCCTAGTTCCTGATTGCATGGATTCAGGGACAGACAATCAGCCAGGAAATGCATTTATATGTGGCATTGCCAGTGTCACGTGCAAAGGAGGAACCATAATGTGACGGAGAGAGATGAGTTCCAGGCCTCTGGGGCCGACTGGGCAGGCCAGCCCCAGGCACAGGGAAGAGGGAGGAGCAGAATTAGAGGCAGGGAGAGGGGACAGGGGTTGGGATGATGGCACTGCAGAAAAAAGCCTCCCCTGAGTGTGGTGGGCAGCAGGAGATTCCAAGTCATCCTAGGACACGTCCCCCACCCTCACTCCCAGAAACACAGCCCAGGACAACAAACTTCACAGAGCAACAGATCTGCTCAGTGCCCATGCTCAGGGAGATGCGGCCAAGATTAGCTGTAGGCCTGTTCCTCCTGAACTTGGATGGTTCCCTGGGTGGGGCTGCCAGACAAGCATCGGAAGGTAGAGGGTTAGAAGCAGGGTGCACAGACAGGCAGGGTCCATGTGGGGTGTTCCCTCTACTGGGTGCACAAAGTCTGCCCCACTCTGGCTCCCCTAGGAGCAATTGTCATCCATCACCCAGAAAGTCCTATTCCAGGAGGCTGGGGTACAGGAGGGGTGGCCTACATCCTTCTGGGAAGGACTTTAGCCCTGGGCAAATGGCTTACTTCTGTGACCCTCTTACAGTGGGGTGGGCCGACTGGCCAAGGAAGCCTCATGCGGATGGGCATCCATACAGAAGTGGTTACCATGGTAAGCTCCACCCTAATTGTCTTATTCAGCCACGTCCGGCACTATGGGGAGAGGAGGGGCTGGGGGGAGCCACAGCCCCTGGATCCTTCCTGAATCTACCCTTGCTTCCATTCCTCACCACCGTATGCCTCAGGTGCCCCAAATTTAAAGGGAGACGCTTCTTTTAACATTGAGCACAAGCCTTGGAAAGCCTCAACAGAAGGATGCTCTAAAGGTCCGCTTGTTCCCTGTGATGTTCGTATGCACAGATTTCCTAGGAGTTGAGCAGGCCTGGGTAGGAGGAGGTATAATTCTACCATCATCTCTATGACTGTCCAGGGCTTTGGGGCAATTCCTCTGAGCCTCATTTCTTCATTTCTAAAGTGGGCAAATCTACTCATGCCCTCTGTACTTTATAGATGAGAGCCAATGGTGCCATGCTGTGAAAGCTTTCTGGAAAATGCAAACTCTCACAGAAATGGCCAGTGTCCTTTTTATGTTAGTCCTCTGAATCAATCTGTGGTTAAAAGCCCTCCAGCCCTTAGGGTGCCAGCATTACTGCTCTCTCGAGAGCCCCGAT